AGGCTGACACTTCACTGCAGTTGAGATTGTTATCATAGGGAGGGCCATAACCTGCATTTCATTTTTAGCACATTTACTGATGTAGTTATATATATGGATGTGCTGGCTTTTCAGTGCCTGTGAACCATCAGTGTTGAATTTCTCTTTTCATATTCACGTATATGCATGTGGGTCCAATATGAATATATTTATAAAACTGTAATTTTAGAACACACAATATAAACTGTAATAACTTGCAGTGAGGTTGCAATAAATGTCTTTCTATATATCTTCATTGCCCATCTATTTTGGCTTCAGTACTGACAGACAGGAGAAAGCTATTATTGGAAAGATGGAGCCAAACAATACAATAATGAAGGTAGACTCCAATGCAAACCCATTTTTTTTTTATAGATTTTATTTATTTATAGCTTCACTATATCCCTGGATCTCTGAATCACATCTAAAATCTAACCACTTGGCCCTAACAGCCCATAAATCACCTGGACAACTAATAAAAATTGTCTGCTGTGCTGCTCGGACAGTGAGTTAAGAGAGAATACAATATTACCTATTAATCCCCAGGACACTGTAATCTCTTTCTATTTTAAGATGCGCTGTATTCTTAGATACTTTAGTGTAATTACATTTTTGATTAGGAACATTCTAGTTTAAAGGCTAGATCAAATGGCTCATTGTTCTCTAAAGCACCGCAGCAGACAGTCTCATAACTAAAGGCTCATTATAAATAAATGCAGCAGCTGCTGGTGCGCTAACCAACTGTTCTGAGCTATTTTAACGTGTAAATATTGACCATTTTAAGCAAGTAGATTGTTTATTATTAGCAGCAGATATATGTATTTATGTGCATTCAGATGTTTGTACCATAGATTGAACAGGGCAATCACTCATTCATTGGTTTAGAAGCCTGAATTTTGAAGCCTCAGCTTTAGTCCTATGAAGTGACCATATTTTGATATCAGCTAATTCTGGCTAGCTTGGTAAGAAAGCTGCATGAAAAGAAAACTAGACTACATGGACGCATGGCACAGGTGCTTGCTGAAAAAGTTATAAGTGAAAAATACCATGTTGTTTATCAAATATTTGTTAATAAACTTACTCTGAAATCCACCAACACCACCAGAGTTCAAGAAAAACTTAAGTCTAGCAGAAGCTAGCCTAGCAGAAACAGTTGCATGTGTTAGCATCGACGTGTCAGTAAAAGTGGTCACAGTGCTAACAATGCATAGCTTAGTACATTTTAAATGAGTCAAAAAATTTAATTTTTGTATCTTTAAACATGTTTACATGTGTTGAGTAACAGACATTTTTGCTTTGAAGCTAAATTCCAGTGGACATTAAAATAACTTCAGTTTTCTCAGTCAGTGTTGGCTCTGTTTTTTTGTTGTTTTTTTTCACTTTGATCAGTGAATAAAAACATCCCTGAATGGTAATGCTTTGTTTGCTATATGAATGTAATATACGGTTTGTATAACATTAGTCTAGAGATTTTTATAGAGTGTTTGTCTTATTACTTCAAAGAAGAGCTTAAACACAGCCATTTCTCATGCTGACTTGGAGAGCTTTAACAAGACATAACTTTATCTCCACCAAGTCCCTGTGAGTACCCATAACAGTACATGATATCACTGTCCCAGCTGTATCTGATCTTTCCTCTGGTCCTTAAATCTATTGGGAAAAAAACCCCCAAAAAACAAAACACATAACCACAAACTCAAATAGAAAGTTAAGTGGCAAAGGTTTAGAACCTGTAAAATAATAAGTTTTTACTGATGAGATTTTTATTTATTGATATTTATTTTTTATTTTTTATTTTTATTTTACTTCTCCAGCATATTCCAAAAGTTAGTAAGTAAAATTAAGTAAGTAAAAATTATTTATGTAGCATTTTAGTAAGAAACCGGCCACAAAGAGTTTTTACAATGTATCATAAAAACTGCTGTGACAAGAGGGACATTAATCTGTCAATTTTTAAGTGTTGTGCACATTTTCTACCTGGAAGTGAGGAAACCTAGTTTAGATTTTGGCCACCACATAATTAACAGGCTAATTTGTAGCTCTTGGAGAGTCTTACTTGGATTAAAACACGTTTTTGTGAGGGGGCTTGCCAAGCAATTTGTGCATGAAATGCATTTTCCTGGTGTAAGTCTCACTCCCGCTTAATGTACACCATGCATCTTTGTAACATTTGACGTTCTTTTTATATGTCAGAGTGCAATTTGTGCAACGTTAAAGTGATTTATGCCTTTCGGTGAGAGAAAGTTTATTACATTAGCTGCAATTTAGTAATGGGAGTTTCAAAAGAAGCTTTATTTTACACTTTAGAAAATACAATTTGCAGAAGATGTACAAGATGTGAAATAAAACACTGGATGATAAATGACAGTGCCTTTTTCTAAAAGCAGATAAAATAGAAGAATAAAAACATTAAGAGCTTAATTGTACTGCAATCATGTTTATTTCCCTATTTCGGGGCATCTAGCTTAGAATGCACATTGAAGGCTATTCTACACGCAAATAACTTGCATGCAACTTTATTAGGAAATGGATGAAGTATGTACAGAGATATCTGTTTTACATGAGGTATGAAGAAAAACATCCAGACCAGGGCAGTTCAATTTTAATATTAGGTTAAAAAAAACAACTAACAAATGTAGCAAATTAATTTTAGATTAATGTATTTGCTTTCTCACCTTATTAGTCTACTGACTGTATTCAGAAAATAATATACATTAGTGACCAGGCAGTTTTTAATACTATTTGCACTTGTCTATAACGTGTGAACTTGGTGTCTAATTGCACATGCCAATATCAAAAATACACTGCGTATTTAAAGTCACTAAGACTGGCTTCCCAGAGATTATACGTCGTATTGTGTGTATTGTATTGCAATAATATACCAAGCACCTGGCAAAGACATCAATGTTAACTGCACCATGGGTTAACATTAATCTATGTACAATAAACCCGCAGGAGTAGAATTCTGTTGTACTTACTCTGTGGTGTTTCTGTGTGTAGGCATTTGTGGATTTCTATAGGATTACTGGATGGCATTCGGAGTGTGTCTGTCGGTTTGTGTTGCATTTTCCTACAAATACTGGGTGCATGCAGGTATTTTGTCAACACTTTTTTTTTTCTCTGCTGATGACCAACAGAAGCCTTGTATATTTCTCTCCTTTTCTCTACTTTCATCCCCCCCATCAGGGAGAAAGGTCGAAACGCTTTGATGGTAGAAGAGATGGGATTTTAAGTTTGGCTTTCTTCTTCTCAAACTTCAATGATGTTGATTGATGGCACAGAAGGGTGAAACTGCAAAAACAAAATACAAATAAGTATTAGTCACTGCTCACATGGATGCCTTGATCTCAGAATTTAACAGCGCCATTAAACGTGGTATTAAATGTGTGTTTACAGTTGTATCTTCTATAAAAGGATAGGATAGGAGTCTCTTTACCTTAGGAGTGTGAAAGCCTTACTGTGCTTTAGGTGTAGTGGTTAATACATTTGCCATCAGCTATGGCAACACCTTAAGAAATAAAGTAGCAGCCATGAGGCTAAACAAACTTTTTATTCAGCTCTATCTTTTGTTGAACTTGATACTTTTGTATTTTGTTTGGACAGTGTTGGCTCATATGTTGCAAGCCACTGCTAGCTAACTCAAGTTGCATTAAAATTTTAATAATATATAGTTATAGCTCCAATGATTGATCAATATCAAGAAATGTCAACATTTATTTTGCATGTAAAATACTTTAAACATGTATTTCCAAGTTACATCGGTTGATGAATTGTTAATTTTCTGCTTTTTCAAAGAAATGACAAAATGTGGACCAACTCTGTCTTTAAGGAGCAAACTGTATGCTGTCACTGTCTCCGTAATAAATGATTTAAGACATTTATTGGGTTCAAGGTAAAACAAGTGTGCTAGTCACCAAATCTGAGAAGAGAAAACTGATCCAAGGTGTCTGACAACTACCTAATAAGGATGAGAGAACTCAGTGTCTAGCAATTTTTTGTCATGGGCTGGGTCTGTGACCCAGTATTTTGAGGTCATGATATATTGTGCATTTCTTTTATTAGTATGGGGAAATGTTAGGTTCTTGTTTTGTATTATTAGTTAGAACTTGAGGCTTCATGTTTTGTCATTTATCGTTTGGGTTAAGCTCATCTAGCTCCTGTAAAACTCCTAAGTGGTTCGACCTTAGTTTTGTTATTGATCCCTGCATTTCCCCTTTTCCCTGGGCTTTGGTCTCACCTGCCATTTGTGTTTCATGTCTCATGTGTCAAGCCCATGTTGTTTGGTCTGCCTCATCATGTTTCCTGTGTTATGTTGTAAGAGTCCAGTATGTTCTTTGTTCATTGTATTTAGGTTCCCTTCCCCTGCCTTGTTATTAGGTTCATGTGTGTCAGTGGTGTTCCCATGTGTTAATGTTCCCATTGTTGTTTATTGTGTCATGTTTCTGGTTGATGCTGTCATGCCTGTCTTGTCATGTTTTTCTGTTTATTTTGAAAGTCCAGTTTTCATGTCATGGTGTTTGAGTTTACATTTCCTGTGCATCGTTATGTTCATCCTTGTCAGCTGTTTCCTCATGTGTCTCGACTTCCCCTGATCACCTCATGTGTGTATTTAAGTCCTCTGTTTTCTATGTTTCATTGTCAGGTCGTCTGTTTGCAGCTCCATAGTGTTTTGTCATAGTTTACTTAGTGTTCATAGTTTGTCATAGTATTTTCACTTTCTTAGTCCTTTAGTTTTCATAGCTTCATGCTTTTTCATGTGCCAACATCCAAATAAAGGATCGTCTTCTGTTCAGCCAGCAACTCCGCCTTTCAGTGTCTGCTTCTGGGTCCTGTAAACTAAACTTATCGGCGCACCCCGCCGTGACATTTTTGCTTGAGGTCAAAATTCTCAGTGTAAGTGACCTTGATAATTGAGTGGTTGTGGGCTCTGCATTAATCTATCCACTCCAGTCTGATGCTTCTTTAAGGCTCTGGCGGTGCTTTATGTACGCATTGTTCAAGACAAGGGACTTAATCTGCACTTTTAATGACCAGCATAGTCTCAGGTTTGTACATTTTTATATGTGTAAATATTGGACAGTTGCCTACTGAGAAATGGATGATTTTGTTCCTCCACCAATTTATTAGATTGGTGTGACTCAGATCAGATTTGTGATAGCGTACAGTGTATTACTTCAGACATCAACTCGGGGAAAGTTTCAGCTCAACACTGCAAAGTGTACAACTAGTATGTCAAGAGAGTGAGAGAAAATAAACTTTTGTCATAGCAGTGGAATATGAAATAGCAATACATATGGTGCGTATAGAGATACTTTACTTTGAAGTATATATACAGCTGTTTGAGGCTGGTGTGAAGCTTAACAAGAACCGAATTCAAATATTTCCGTCTCTGTGTGGCCTCTGAGACTTCACCTTGCTCCTTAGCAGTCCTCCACTGTGGTGCTCTGGCGTGCTTCTTTCTGACGACGGCTTGGCCTTCTCCTTATTGTTGCTGGAGTCGTTGTCCTTAATGATGTCATACTGCCGGCAGAATAGGGCAATAACAGCTGCCAGGAGGTGAGACAGGGGCACATTTGCAACAAAACACAAAAGAGGATAGGAATTCAGTTGTGAGGCAGCTGTCAATCACTGTCATGTCACCAATTCCTCTAACAGCACATGCTGAAATGCCATGTGGATAATGGAATTTTGTTCCCACGGGAGGGTGACGGCTGCGCCTTTATCTCAAAGCTTGGAGGAGACTCATTCACTATACTCTTTGCTTTCTTTCACTGCTAAATCTGCCAGATGCAGATTTGCCCCCAATTTGGATAAGTACTGTATATTCTCAATTATCTTCCTTGCTTCACTGAGGTCATGAATTTTTATGGGGGCGCTTTTATTAAATATTCAGAAAGTGATATCCAGTTCTGATAATGAGAGTTGCAGAGCTGTTCCGAGACGCATTCGTTAAATTATTATTCATGCATCATGTAAGTCGTCTCCTGCATTGCAGCCACGTCATTCCCTCTGCAGCAGAAAGGTACGAGTGGGTACTTCTGCATCTACCCTCATTGTTCTGTCGTAGAATTACAAAGGCATTTGTGAAAGTGGAGAATGAGAGTATCCGCAAAGCATGGTTTAGTCAGGACTAAGTTAGTATTGAAATCTTAAACAGAATAGCAGAAAAGATTAGCACTATATTAAAAATCACTTAGTTATACCACACTGCTCCAAAAGTTAAAGAAGCACTTGATCATCACAATATAAGACAGACAGTTAAATGTTAGAACATTAATTTCTCGTTAGTAAGTTTAAACTATTATGAATCCATCTCAGCTGCTTCGGCGCAAATGAAAGTGACAACAGGTGCACTGGAGAGGAAACCGCAAGACACCCCCTAAAAAGGTTTTGCAGGTGGTGGTCACAGACCATTGCTTTCTCCTTCTCCTTCTTGACTGATTTTTCTTTTTGTTAGTGTGCTTGTCACTTCTGATAGCATGAGACAATCCCAGAAGCCCATTCAGGGTTGCACAGGTAGTCCAGAATCTCTAGGATCACGCATCTACACATGCTGTCACAAGAAGCTTTGCTGTGCCTCCCAGCAGTCTCAAAAGTGTGTGAATGAGTTATCAAAACATGGGTAGTTACATAAAGATTGATGCCCTTCTACAGTTACAGCTGTGCAAGGAGGAGCTGGAGGAGCACTCCTAGAGCGCTTCAAAATGATCTCATGTGCAGAAATTTGACCAAACTGTCATGAATAGACTCCCACTAAAGGGCCCAGTGTCCTTTAGTGACCTGTGCTCACCGACCAGCACCATCCAGCTCAACTGGCATAACTGCCACCAGAACCCAACTCACTCCAAAGCAAAAAGCAAAGCTAGAGAAAGATTGGTCAGGTTATATATCTGTGAAGGTTCTCAGTCATCCAGGTCGTCGTAGTCTAAGGAGCTTAGAAAGAAAAGCGTCTGGACTTCTTTAAGTTGCTTGAAGACGTTTCAGCTCTCATCCGAGAAGCTTCTTCGGTTAGGTTGGATTCTCGATGGTTCACGCTCCAAACTGCACTGATTGATATTCCTAAAGTGTAACTGACTTTGTGTTACACTGACAGAATCAATTGTTCCCTATTATTTGATTTGATTTCTTTGAGCAGTGGGTTAAGTTTTAACTCTAAATGAATAAATTCAAAGAGGATCAGGTAAATCCGACATTAAGCTTGACTGATAACAAATGTGCAGTCCATTATGAATATGCCACACGGGTTGCTTCTTGTCTTTCACTCCCACTCTTCACAGCTTCCGCGTTACCTTGGTTTCTCTCATTAGTATTATTTAACATCTCACTCCGGTCCTCGTGGGTGGGAAGCCCTGCTCCTAGCTGCCTGACAGATACGCCACTTCTCATTGTGCCTCAACACTTCATTAATCAGCGCACTACTTCAAAGGAGAACCCCAGAAGACGAGAATGCTCAGAAAAGTGTGATGTTGGTTTGACACTGCTGCACAGTCGTCAGATTTGGTTTACAGACAGACCCACTCGCATTTTTTTTGTACTTTAGCTTAAACTTGATTGCTGTGCCGCAGGTTTTACCTACTGCGAAAAAACTGTCCCATTATAGTTCTGACTTTTTTTTTTTGCAGAGCTTTCATTTAACTTAAAACAACTGCTGTGACATTTGCATTTTAGACAGTACTCAATCTCCTGTCAGACTAATGATACCTGAATATAAGAAGTAGTCTCATACTAAATCAGCTGATCCTGAACCTGATTGAGGATTCTTTGTTTTGTTTTTTTCTTACTTCATCAGTGTCCCGCCAGTTTTTACTGATGCTCTGTTTTGTATGGTGGGTGCAAGGAGGAGTGATGTTGCTGTCTTCGTACAAAGCACACATTAGAATTATTATTGTGACTAAAGTGATCCTGAGTGAGCTTCACACTGAATATTAATTCCCCCCTCTTCCTGCTTGTTGGTCCTTTCTTTTCTTCGTTCTTTCTTTTTTTTTAATTGAATGAAATCTACAAACTTACCTGCCCACATAACCAAGACCACGACAATTATGATCATCTCTCCAGTTTGTAGATGTCGAGACTTGTCCAGTCCCTGCACAGTGGGGTCATCTTGGAGAGAGGACAGACAGTAAAGACAGAGCACATCAGAACACTAAATATAAAATCTAAGAGACACTGCGCATTTAAATACAATCCACTGGGACATTTTATGGAGTAGAAATAACAGTCTGGCACAGTCTCAGAGAGTCTGTCTGCTTTATAATATGAATCAAACTCACTTTGCATCTGCACGGATTGACAAAAATTTATACTTTCTCTACCCTTCATGACAGTTATGCCATTTAACAGAACTACAGTAGTTTTGGTGGGCATTCCCACACGTCAATCTTGTAACATTAATCCTCCTTTAAGTGGATTGACTAGAAACTTTCCACTTTCCAAACTGCCTCTCAGCTCGCATGGATGGAACTCTTCCAGAGCCCCACTCTTCCCAATTGCCTCTTTTATGGAATCAAGTTGTCAAGAAACTGTCTTCAAATGCCAGACACTTAGCTCTCGTCACAGAAAAACAGTCAGATAGTTGGGTCAATTGGAGTGTCACATTTTTCCCCATCTTGATAGTGTGAGGATGTCAGCGGCGAGAGGGCAGGAGTAGGAGTACATCGTCAAAATCAACCACAAATTAAAGAGAAAAGCAGGATGCTAATTTGCCAAAAAGACTTGGAACCACATGTAAAATCACAGATGACTGGATATTTGAAGGGATTAAAGCAAAAATCATGTTAAATTAACTTTTTTCCCTTTTTTTTTCTTCTTTTTTTATTCTTAGCATCAACTTCCATCATTTTGTTCCCATGGATACCGATATCTTGTTAAGTTGTGGTGGAAAAACTGTCATAGCACCTAGGATTGCTGCCAGATGTGGTTGTAAACCTATACCACAAAAAACAAAAACACTCATTCAGCTTTATCCAAACTTTAGTATGAGTGAAATATCGAGAGTATGTCCAGTACTGAGGCCTGTGTTACGCCTCCTCAAGACTACCCAAGCAGCAACCTCGTGAGTGTGATGGTCTTTTGCTGTGTGCTACGTGAGAGAGATAGGAGTTGCAGCTGATATCCCAATCTGATGAAAAAGTTCTGAACCTTATTTTGGACTCAACATTGATATGTAGGAAGGCTTGGTGTCTACACTGCAAGATACTTCTGAAAACATAGCCGGGTCTGTGCGTAGAGAGACTTCTGGTGGAAGCGTTGGGTTGATGTCGGCACATCAAAGACCGGCTTCAGAGATGAATGCAATCTGTGAGACTTCTTACTTCCCCACTGAACTTCTCATTCCTTTTAGAAGTTTTTTAGTTGATCTAATGATCAAACTTCACTTGCAAGAGCACACTGGTACAGGCTGTATAGTGTGCATATACTACACTGATAAACCTAACCATTATAACCTTGTATGTCTCCTTCTTCTGCCACCAAAACAACTCAGGTTTCTAATGTATCTGACACCAAGATAGTGGCACCAGATCTTTTAAGTGTTGTAAAATAAGACTTGTTTATTTGTTCGATGTGAGTGGTCATTACCCTTTGGATCATTGGCTTATATATGCAGAAACATGATGCTGTAATAACACTAAGATCTGAATAACATTTCCATGTGTTGTTTCATAAATTTTTTATGTTGGTGGCAGACTCATATATGCTGTGTGAATTTGTGCTAAAGAGGAATGAGTAGATTTCGCTGCCTCCTGTACACCAAATAATTTGCGCAGAGATAATTAGTCGACCCTGCTTCTGCTCGCCCCCTAATCCCGAGATGTTGGCTGTGGCTGTGAACTGCGACAACACACCAGGGATTCTGCGCTGATGCCACAATGGTGCATCATTAAAGTCTTTCATGATGTTTACTTTAGAATGAGCAATTTTATTTTAGGCTGCATTGCTCCTTTAAAAGTTTTTCCACTGAAAAAGTTTGATTCACACTCGGACTTATTAACTGATTATCACAATGAAAGCAAATACAATTTTTGTTGCAGCCATGTTTCCCAAAAAGTTCAAAAGTTGAATTGTCCCGCTTGTAGTTTGGACGTGTTGCCCAAAGACATGAACATTGTAACACAAAAATATAGCAAATGTGACAAAGGATGCCCCGTGCCGTTGAGCAGCTGAGCTATAGAAAACAGCCTCTTCAGTTCGCAAGAACAGATGTAACACAGTGATAAACAAGCTTGTGCCCCAGCTTTTGTCATGCATGTTGCCCCCATGAAAGTCATAATAAGCATATACTTATAATGCTTATACTTACATAGTATTAATAATAATAATAAGAGTATTTCTTTGCAGCTATTTCGGTTGCATAATATTCTAGAGTAATAGCCTTTAACCTTATATAAATCACTGAATGCAGATAGAGATAAGCCCAAGTATGAATCATAATGAGGCTATTAGACAGTGTGTGGCATGCCTTTGTCTTACTGCTGTTAATAGGAGACCCTATAGGTGTAGCTTCTGACTCAGTAGAGACAGCTACGCTCTGCTTTGAAGCATCATGCAGTAATTGTGTCTAAGGGGACCACCTGCCTAGTTAGGTTAGACTGCTCAAAGTCTTCATCCTTTGAAAATACTCTTCCTTTTTCTTACACCGTGTGAAGTGGATTGGCAGTTACTTGGTGTCAGCGGTTTCTTCACGGTTGCTGTGCTGGGGAATGATTTTTGTGTTTGAATCAAAACGTGTTAGTTTACCGAACTTTGTCTGAAAGTTTGAATCTTTTGCCAACCAAATTCATGTGACTGGAATTTAAACTAAGCTCATCTAACTAAAATTAATTCCATTCAAGTGCAAGTAATTTTTTTTAAATTTGCAATTGCATATGCATGTATAGTACTGTGTGGTATAGTTGAAATTTGACTGAAAGGGGAATCAAGTGAAAGCCAGAACTACAGCACCGCTTACTTCACTCTCGAAGGACAGGTGACACACATAAACATACACTCACATTAAAAGCTTTCTGTGAAACTAATGAAGCTGAAATAGACTTTGGAAAGTGATATTGATGCTATAAAAGGAGTGCTGCAGTCTATTCCAATGTATTTATTGAATCTTGCCAGGAAATACTTCATAGAAAATGGGAGGATGCCGAGTCTGCCCAGCCCAGTTAAATAATATACACCAATATGTAATCACATTATTAATAAAATTGCTTTGTTCACAAAAAAGAGAGAGAGAAAAAAACCCTCCTATTGATTCATATGTATCATAGCTCTGACTCTGGGTTGTCTGGTGTATACCACAAATCAATTTAGTTTCAGTAGAAGGCACTTGGCTGTGACAAAGGACCTCTGAAATGGCTCTGTGGTGCTGGAGCCAGCTAGGATAAAATGACTTTTATGGAACAACAGTCAGCAGGAAGATCAACAAAAAATATCACATGAACTCAGTGCGCATTAAGATTTCAAAAAATTATAAATTAAAAACATAACAGACACTGCGTTTTCTGTTTGTTTGTTGTTAATATGCAGAAATTTAGGGGAGTCTTTTTTTTGTTATTGATATTGTGATAAATAATAAGCTAGCTGAGTCTGCTGTCTTTTCATCTGCTTGATCCCTTGTAGTGTTCAGATATTTTTATATGCGTATTTTAACATTAAGACATTCACTCGTGAATGTGGAAAACTTTTTTTTTATAACCCAGTTGTGGGCTGTGACCACCAGACAGCCTAGTTCTGTTTTTAACATGTGGGTGAATGCTTAGTGAAAAATGGGTCACATTGGATTCCTGTAACTCAACCTGCAGATCTTATTATAAGAGTTAAGCTAGGACAGGTTTTCATGGGTGAAATGTAAGAATGGATGCTGTCATTGATTGGAGAATCACAATACTCTACACCCTCAATTGGTGTATGATGGTTTGTGTGAGTCACACCACGTGTGAATGTAATTCAGTCTGAATTAGGTTTGACAAGAAAATTGAAATCATAAATACTGATACAGGGTCAAACAAGAAAAGAGAAGTTGAGTAATGCGGTTCACAAAAGTTGCACCTAGAAACTTGATGCGATTGGACTTTAAAGCTTGGGCTTGAGGAGTCAGCAGTGTCGGCATTAGATTTATGGTAAGCTGACATTGATGTCTTTTACGCACCAAAACAAATTCCTACAAATGAGCATCACTGAATGGGCTGTTTCTCTGACCCAGTTGGATGACTCGAGAGGCTACAAATCCTGATTAATGTTGCATAATAAAACTTTTCCAAGCGTCTGCACCGGCCGTGTCTTTGCTCTTGCTCAGCAATTTATTGAGATATATTGATGGTTATTTAGCTTTCCGAGGTCAATTTTTTTTCCTTAAAGAAAACTTTAAGTTAAAAACACAAGTGCCAAAAAAATAATTTCCTGGACACTTAATGTAAAGCAACAGGAAAGGAATGCAATGTCAGTTCCTGGACGAGAGCAGACTCGTGTGCTGAGCGGGAATTCGTTTCTTTCTCTTTGCTTTGGCCAGGCTTGCCAGCTTAACTAATGATACGCAACCTGAGTCAGCCGAACAGAAACATTTATGATTCCCTTGCATCAGCACTTCCGTATATTCACGACTTTGACAAGACTATAAAAATCACAAAACAGTTTTTGAAGCGTCAGGTGCGTTTCTAGAGCAATGTCGAATACCGTGCTGTTATTCTATGAGTTAATGCATTTGGCTCATCCCACAATCGTGGCTGAAGTACTGCGGAGAAGATTAGCAGAGGACTTTGCTCTGAAGTATATAACAAGCAAATAGCCTTTTCCACATCTGAGCTGTATGAAATTGAGAGACTAAACTTATTCTCTGTAGGTCACGGTCTTCATTTTTTCTCCTGCCCGCGTGCTGATCCGACACATGGAATATGAAGGAACACCCAGAGCGATATAGAGCTGCATAAATTCAGAGCAGTTTGGCTGCAGACCTACTTGAAGCTTCTGTCAATAATGTGTTGGTTTCTATGAGAAATAAAACCCCTCACCTTGAAACCCACTACCCCCCCTCCCCCACACCCACAAGAGAGCTGCTCTGAGAGGAAGCTTCTGGTTACTTGCTCTTGTCTAACCTTTACTGCATCTCATTCTCAGTGTTAGGGTGCTTAAAAGCATTCAGGAGTCGGCTTTAGCGCAACAGCGGGAAGAGTGCCTGTAATGGGTTGCTTCTGCCTGTGCCTCGGGAAAAAGGCCCGTGGCAGACCGTGTAAAATTAAAAGCAAATGTGTTACATAATGCACAAAACTGGTGCTGTGGCTTCTTGTGAACTTATCAATTCTACTGCACTTAGACAAATTTGACAGCATCTTGGCCACCCTAACCCAATCGTTTATAACGATTGTTTAAGCCAATCGCAGGAATCTGGCACTTAATTAGACTTCCACATGTCTTATCTGGTAGATTGTTCACTCGTCCTGAATGTATTTTGTCAGGTTGAACATGTGATTTCTTATGGCTGAGTTAAGATTGGGACTCAGAGCTCACTTCTGAATCGTGTCAATATGGGTGTTTTAAGATGTTAGAGGTCTGTTAGAGCAGCTGTGACACAGCAGATCTCTCTGACACTCTGATGATTTTTTTTTGTTTTATTGTATTCTGTGCACATTTATGCCACCATGTGTCACCAATTGCAAAAAAACCCCATAAATAAATCAATAAATAGATTAAAAAATGATAATGCACAGTAGGTGTTGCATCGACAATTCTGACACAATCACCCAGTGTAAGGTTTATGCCATAGCTACCCCAAAATTTTGGTAATTAAAAAAATCATATTTTATGTTTAGGAATGGTTAATCCAGCAGTATGTATGGCGTCTTTAATCTGAATTATGTTTTTAATGCCAAAAAATAATTATTGTTTCTCATCTGTAAACGTTCAATTTTTCATTTTTACAAAAAAAAAAAATGCAAGAAAACATTTAAAATATATATATTATTTTTTAAATTAAGATGCTAAATTACAGTTATTCACTTGAATTTCTGAACAGTAAAATGAGTTTTAGTGAATGTTGAATGTTGATTAAGTTGCGACTTCTCAGAGTCCGGTTGAGTGTGCCGCCTCACATTTGGGTGTAAAAACATGAGATGAAAACATCAGTTTGTTATTTTCCTAATAAATGAGAAATATAATTTTTAGCTTTAAACAAGTTTTTTGACAGATTTTGTAATCTCCAAAGGACTTATTGTACTGTTTCAAAGTTTGGTTGTCTTCCCTTCTACACATTCCAAACTTCTATTCAGTCTTGTGTCAGTTTTTCTCTGCATCCATCTCCAGATAGGTTGGCTGCAGTCCTGTGGCCCTCAAACTTATTAATTAGATTTCATCTCTGGTTACAGGATTCAAGCTGCTTGGAGATGTATTGTAGTCTTCACCTTCATCATGCCTTGGAATCCTTTCTTTCTTATCTCCTCAGACAACTTGCTGCTTTTGTTTTTCCTTTTCACTGTTCTGTGTGGAGCACACAATAATACCAAACACCTAGCCACGTACTTCTCTGTTTAATTACTTTAATGACTGATTATAAGATTGAAGGCTCCTCGGACACTAAATGAAGAGCGTATTCAGTTTGAAACACAATAGCAATCCACATATTTATCTCATTTTGAGAATCATTTTATTCTCTTTGCAGAACTGGCAAGAATTCTGCTCTTGCCACATTTTGTTTTTCTTCCCACAGCATGTCGAAGGCATGCAGGTCTCAATGATTTGTAAGCGTGGCAGTAATCTTGATCATGTCTGTCTACAGCTTCAATGACAAATCCACATCCAGTACTCATAGCATGTTGTGAGACTC